CCTTCAGATGCTCAGGAGATGAGCAAGTGAAGAAGCACCCCTCCATATTAGATATCCACCTCATAGCTGCCATCGGATCCTGTGTACCATCAAACTCTGATGGTTTGGTGTTGCTGAACTCCCGAAACAGTGACGCATCAACTCCATGGGGTCTCGCCGCAGCGATCGCTGCGGTAGCCGCTGCAACAGCAGCCTCAGAAAGAGCGGCGTAACGCTCGTCAAATGTCTCAATCAGCGCGGTCTTAATAGACCCGAACATCTCTGGTATCTCAGCCCTGATGACCACAGCCACCTCCTCATGAATGATCTGTCGAATCTCCTCATTACTAGCTCCAGCACCCTCCGGCATATGACGTGTCCTCACCATGATCAACCTCTGAAATGAAACATGCGATAAATTAGAATTCACTCGAGCATTCTCACACTCGACAATCCACCCCTCCTTGATTCTTGGTATCCCAAAGATTCTTATTTGGACTGTGCACTGCCCCGGTGCTTTCAGTAGTACGAGCCCAATACTACTGTCCACACCGTCTCAGTACACACCCCAAATCTTCCTCTTCGGATCCCAATTCCCAAGTACTCTATCATGCGTAGACCACTCTCTAATAGATCTCTCATAAGCCCCTCGCTGCTACCTACTCACTCTCAGCATCTCATAGCAGCTCACCCCTCCCTAGGCTAAGGCATCACAAATCAGGCCACTCAAGTCCTATTAGCAATACCTAGCCTACTCTAGCATGCAGATACATCATATCAAATATCAATATTACATAATATAAAGGTATTTTGGGAATTCACCGTTCGGGCGCTGACTGATCGTACACACGTTTCTTCCTGGAATTTGTTTCTTTTTCAAGAAAATCTTTTACTCTTAGAAAAGTTAGGTTTTCTTTTGAAAATATCTTTCCAATTCCTCAGTTTGAGTTCAAATACTCCCGAAGGTGTACCCGAATCCTCAAACCAAGGCTCTGATACCAAATTGTAACACCGTAAATTTCAAACAAAATTTTCAATTTTCTTATAAAACATAATTCGATTAATATTCATCAAACAACCATATTAATTATCCAATATAGGTTGATACAAAATCCCAAGATCACAATATAAAAACTCCGAGTGTGTGTACGGATCAAGCCGACGCCTTCCCGTGGTCGTCACTAGTACCTGAAACAATAACATCAAACACTGTAAGCACAAAGCTTAGTGAGTTCCCCAAAATACCATGTTTAACACATAATAGCCACTCGAGGCTATAACTCTATGGGTCCGTGCATCCAAACTCTGTGAACCCTCAGGTTCTAACTCTGATAAACATGCACCACATAAATCACATAGAAATAATGCAGTACAACACATAACATACATAGCATACAAATACTCTATCACATAACTCTGGTTACCTACTCAAGGTAAAGTATAGTGAGAAGACTCACCTCGCGTATCTCGGTATCTCACGAATCCTGGAAATCCCTCGTGCTCGATCCTCCGAGCTCTAATCTCCTATAACATTATATGTCTCTAATTAACACTTTATATCTCTAAGTTGACTATCCCTAAGAAGTCAACACAGGTCAACTCTAGTCAACTCTGGTCAACGGTCAATGGTCAACGGTTAACTTTGACCGGACTCGGCGAGTGCTACGGCGACTCGGCGAGTCTAGACGTTTTCACCAACCCTCTGAAATTCCCTTCCTACACATCGAGTATTCCCCCCTTACTCGACGAGTTTCACCTGGAAGAATCGCGGGGCCACCCCGACTCAACTCGCCGAGTCTCAAGAACAACTCGGCGAGTCCCAGTTTACCTCAGTCCATTCGTCATCCCTCTCCAACTCACCCTGACTCGATTGGACCACTCACTGAGCAATCCCAAGGCAATCTTCAAACTACTCGCCGAGTCTGATGAACAGACTCGGTGAGTCCATGCCATGCAACCACTCCAACTTGCTTCTAAGGTCAGATCTGCTTCCATAATCTATAGATCTGGCCTCCCTAGACTGATTCATCACGTAAAGCTTCTATCTTGGTGCCCATAACACACCCCATGGCTCATAAATGGAGTTTTGACCTAAGGCATGAGGATTCCAATCCAAAGCCTCCATTGATTCCCAAAAAGCTTGGGTAAAGGGACACTCTGGACCTCTAAGGGTCCAGATCTATGATTCAAACCTCATAAGGGACCAAGAGGACACTAGATCTTGCCACAAAAGGGTTCAACAAACCCTAAATCTAGATAAACAACAACAAGGAAGAAGATAAGTCGAAATTATTACCACAATAGTGATGCTCTAGACTCCAAACCCTCAGAAGTGGCTCCACTTGCTTTCCCTTGGCTAGTTCTTCTCCTTCCTTGCAACAATGGCACCTCCAAGATCAATAATGGCCTCCTACTTACCTCCAAATTCTCACACTCGATTAGGGTTTCACTCAAGGGACTGGTGAGCACAAATGACGGCCATTAGGCCCTTTAAATAGGTCTCAAACCCGAGAAATTAGGGTTTCATTACACAGCGCTGACTCGCTGAGTCCATATCCTGGACTCGCCGAGTCCAGGCGCGATCCCGCGTCCAGATCCGCGTCCCTACTCGGCGAGTCTGAGCTCCAACTCGCCGAGTCCCCTCTCAAATCACCAAAAAACACAATATATAAGATACCTGAAAAATCCGGCTGTTACACTTTGTCTTTTGTTTTCTTTGTATTTATATTTCTTTCTTTTCTGTCGGTGGTCATAAAACACATACAAAAGATAATAGAAGAGAACAAAATATCTGGTGATTAATTATTATGATTACACCTAAGAGTTTAGGCCAACACCCTATAAAGTTTATAGGTAGTACTTACTGAACTAGAATACATATCTTTTACCTATTAGTTAAAGTTTATTATTTGTGTAGAATCATGTAATTCAACATGCTTATTATTTTGTATTATTTGTTGATTTATTTGTATAATGTAAATAGAAAGATAAAATATAAATATATAGTCTATTATTATAATATGGAAGTAATTCACGTTATATTATTTTATTGAAAATTAAAATTTTCATCAGAAACAAAAATTAATGATAGGTAAATTTATTAATTATTAATTTACGAATTTAATTTAGGCATATCTTTATATTAATTTTTTTTATTACACTTTTGTTATATCATACATTTGAACCAAAAACTTGTATAACGTTTCAAAGTTTTAATTCTGACCCCTAATCGTTTTGTTTGTGTTCCGCTCATGTTTATACATCATATTTGATGTTTAGCTTCATCGTCGTTTATACATGATAGTGATTATTTATGTGTATTTATTTTAATTAGGTCCATTTTTTGTTAACGGGACTGCAGACGAAGAAGATGATAGATGCGACAAACACAATAAAGTCGTATCGTGACATATTCACTTGTTTTTGTTTCTTCATGAATTATGATAGTGGTGATCCATAAGATATATTTAATCACAAAATACTCACCCATTCAAAATCAAGAAAAATAAAAGGAATTTTTATATTCACTTGTGGGGGTGGGGAATGGACATTTTTTTTAAAAAAATTAGTTATTATCGGTAAAAGGAGTATTGCTATTTCTTGCATGGACTACATTTTAAGTGGTTTTCTTGCAATTTATGTGATTTTGTTATGATCATTATCGGTTTTAAGTCGTTAAACTATACAAACTTATGGAATATGCATTGGATTGAATTGATGTCAGTATCCTTCCTAAAATTCTTCTATGTCATGTGAATAAATGTGGCACAAATTTTAACATGTAAATTAATGATCGGAAGCGTAGCAATTTCAATTATCTTCATCAACATTAGAGTCATGTTGATAAGACTCATGTTGTTCTATCATTTTTTGTTTGTATTATTTGGATTTGACCCTTTGGTGTTTTTGATTTGCGGATTGAAAGTAATTATTACAATGATAAATTAATTATTATTTTTCTCCATCATATATGTGTTTGTTTTTATGATTATTCGTTTTGTTAGGAAAAATAGAAATATATTTTAGGGTACTTAGATTTATTAACCCTTTATTACTGAGCCAACGAACCATAATATGGCCGATTCTATGGTTGATCATATTTTGAGTTTTTTTTTAATATATTGGCTGATCCGGTTTTCAATACATTGCACTGGTTACGATATATTGGCGATTATATATATATATATATATATATATATATATATATATATATATATATATATATATATATATATATATATATATAATCACAAAAGATCAATTATAATTATACAGGAAATATGTACGTAATTATTTGTGTGATATTTATAGAAAAAATAATAATGGTAAACTTGTAATGTTGTTTATAAAGTAGTTTTTAGAAATTTATAAATAATTTATAGATTTTTATTTTTACAGCATGTCGTATTTATATTTTTGTAAATTATATTTCATTTACCATTTAATTTATAATTTATTGTTTTTTCTTTATGCAAGATTATTACATTACCATCATGTTTAATTTCTTATATATCAATATTGTCATTTCTAGGATTTATTTTTCCCCAAACATAAATGAACAAAATAGTAGACGGAGAATTGAGTTGGCCTTAAGAATGAATAAACAATCACCAGTAAAAAAAAAAAAAAAAAAAAATAGTCGCCAACGGAGGGAGGTGTTGTCGACGGAAAATGAAGCACATGAACGACCATCGGGGACTCTTTAATTACATATTCAAAAAATAACATGGATTATAGTACTGTTACAAAAAACAACTTTAATTATTATTAGTAAACCAAACTTTATTGCCATATATATTTTTTTGTAATTTGTTATATTTTTCATATATGTTTATTACAACTTAATTTTCTAATTTTTCATAAATTCATTTACTGGTTTTATTTTATTGTTTCAGTTAATCATGTAACCGTGGCGAGACAAAATGCTTAAAAACCAAAATCTCGAATAGTTTTTTGGTGCGTGCGGATGGACAGAGAGATTTCGATCTATTCACTAAAAACAGAAATGAAGTAAGCAAAATTCAACCACAAGCGCAAGGATCTTCATCAACAAGAATTAGCTCATCATCGCCACTCCTAAACAACAGGTATCCGACGGCCAGCCCAACGACTATTACCACAAACACACCTCCATTAAACGACATCACGGCAAGCATCAGGAAGTAGTTAACGGCGGAGTTTATCCCGAAGAGTACAGTTCCGGCAAACCTGGCTCGTCTACGGTCGGAGAAAAGCTTGGTGTACAGAAGTGGAACATTCTCGACGTCTCCAACCGCGGTATGTGAGGATGAAAGGAGCTTGAATCGAAGGCGGTGATCTTCCATGAACTGGTAGAAGGCGGCGAAGAGGAAGCAGACGATTAAGGTGAGGAAGTAGCTGAACCATGAGTTGGTTTTCCATGAATCGATTAGCAGAGTGACGTCTGGGCCCCAGTAGAAGGTCATGTGCATCATAGCTGCGTTTTCCGGCGAGTTGTGGTGCTTGTGGGAGGCTAAACCTGCGTATATAAATCAAGAGTAAGATAGATCAAAAAAGGTTGTGTAGTACCAGTACTACACCAAACTTTGTACTACTCTCCTCTCCTTTTCCTCGCATTTAAATTTTCAATTCAATCTTTGTGTTCCATAAATTGACCTCCACTTTGATGAATCTTGTTAGTATCCATGGAAATCGTTTTTTTATTTTATCCATTAGAAGGAAAGAAGAAAGTGCTTATCAAACTTTAGTTTTCATAGGTTGTTGCTATAACTTTATATCCACAGTTCATAAAGTGTTAGTAAACTATACATATAGCTGGATCTTATTTTAAAAAAAATAAATAAATAAAAAATAAAAACAAAAACAAACACAAAACAAAACTCAGTAATCTCGTAAAAACGAGCTGATCATAGAAACCCATAAATTATTTGAGTGTAAACTAGTTGCCTCAAATTCTACTGTCAAGAAGATGAATAAAAAACTTGCCCAACATGTGGACGTGAGTAATAAGGCTGGAGGGAAACCACAGTGACACATAGGCGCTACCTCACCCATTTCCACAAAAGTGTGGTCTCATACACATCCAAGGACTGGTGTCACACTTTGGGTTTTTTTTAATTAAATAAAAACTATAATTTTAATAAAAACCATTCATTTCATTATTTCAAAATAAAAATAACATTACCTTCCATTGCCCAAATAGAAATCCTATAAACTTCAAAAAAAAAAACTAGAAATTTTAAACCTACAAACTCAAAAAAAATATACATTAAACGATTTAAAGTAAACGCACTACATGAAGTCGTCCTCTGAGAACTCGTCTTCCGGATCCTCCTCCGGATCCAAATTGAGGTCAATGTTTTGGATCATGTAAATGTGTTCCACCAAATCCATACGAAGATTGTGAAATGTTTCATTACAACGAACATCTGCTCTCTTTTCAATGTACTCATCGCCCCCAATTTCTATTCCTTGTGTCGCGGAAATGGTTTCCTCTTCACCATACTCACATATCGCTCTTCCTTCATTTTCGATAATCATATTATGCAGTATTAATACATGCATACATGACTTCATGCATTTTTTCCTCGCCGAAAAAAACTGTTGGTTTTTTCAATATAAACCAACATTTCTTGAAAGCTCCAAAAGCCCGCTCGACATCCTTCCTAGCTCTTTCTTGAGCTTTCTTGAATTTTTTCCGACGAACATCATTCGGACACGTAAACGATTTAACAAAAACCGCATACTCAGGATAGATCACATCAACTAGATAATAACCATATTTATATGGCGTTCCACGCAATTGGAAAGAAGAATCCGGTGCAGATCTGTCGTATATATTGTTAAATATAGGTGACCGATTAAGAACGTTAATGTCGTCGAGGGATCTTGGAGAACTAAAAAAAGCATGCAAAATCCACTGATCTTGTGATGCCACGACTTCAAGTATGACCGTTGGATGCCCATGATAGCCTCGGGTAAATTGACCATGGTGTGAGGCAGGACAATTTTCTCATGTCCAATGTAGACAATCTAAACTTCCTAACATTCCAGGAAAGTCATGTACGCTAGCATGATGAGATTGCAATTTCAAAATGTCATTGCGTGTAGGCTTACGTAAATATTTTGGACCATAAAACTGAAAAATAGTTTTGCAAAAATAGTGTAGACTATCTCGTGTGGTCCTAGCTGACATCCTAAAACCCTCATCCAACGCATCAGGAGGGATGTCATATGCTAACTGACGAAGTGCAGTTGTATATTTTTATAAAGGGGTGAAACCGGGTGTACCTCTAGCATCAGGTTGTTGCTCGAAAAAATCACACTCCCTCGTTACATCTTCGAGTATACGTTCGTACTAGGGGTGTTCGCGGTGCGGTTTGGTGCGGTTTCGAGTCGAAACCGCAAACCACACCGCATGTGCGGTTTGAAATTTTAGAAAACCGCACCGCGAAGGTTCTAAACCGCGTTATGTGGTGCGGTTTGGTGCGGGCGGTTTGTGCGGTTTTTTGTGGTTTATGCGGTTTGAAAAAGGATATGTATTTTTAATATTATGTACATAAAATTTATACATAAATATATTAGTTATAGAATCAAGATAAGTTGGTTTTGCCAATGTTTTAACAATACTAGTCATTGTTACATTAGACAATCAGATAAATAATCTATCACAAATTTGTTTACAAAAATTGAAATTGGTGATATCAAAATTCATTAGTAATAAAACCAAATTCGTATCTTCTGTGTAATTTTTATGTGTTTGTATATATATATATATATATATATATATATATATATATATATATATATATATATATATATATATATATATATATATATATGCGGTGCGGTTTGAACCGCATTGTTATAATTGGAAACCACAAACCGCACCGCATAATGCGGTTTAACAAAATTTCAAACCGCAAACCGCACCACACTAGTTCTAAACCGCATTAGGCGGTGCGGTTTGATGCGGTGTGGGCGGTTTATGCGGTTTGGTGCACACCCCTAGTTCGTACAATGATTTGAACATTCTAAAGCGCCTTCTAAAGTAGTATCCTTGAAAAGTGACATTTTCTTGAAAGTAGTCGTGTATCAGACGTTGGTTTGCATCTTCACGATCTCTAAAAATATATCTCTGTGTTCTCTGTTCAGCACTGGCAGATGCCCTACTACATGCCGCTTCATACATTTGTTCCGCAGATGTAGCAGCAGCGACAAACATATTGTACATAACATCAAACTCTTCAGAAGAATCAGAAGAAGACATTCTTTGATTTGTTTGAAATGTAATGTAGTAGATAAGTATAAAAAATGAGAAGGGTTCAATGGTTTAAATAGGTGTTAAAGTTTAAAAGAGAAAATGATAATAATAATAAATCAGATTTTGGATCGTTTGCAACGGTCAATTGTGACCAACCAATCAAAATCATCCATAGAGCGCACCCTCCAAAAGCCGCAGTGCACCCTAGGGAGTACCCAGGGGGCGGTGTTTAATGCTTATGTGGCAGAGGGAGTGCGATCCAGATCGCACCACTCCTTTCGGTGTAATAGTGTTTATATATATATATATATATATATATATATATATATATATATATATATATATATATATATATATATATATATATACACACACACACACACTAGTTTATAACCCGTGGAAACCACAGTTACAAAATTAATTAAATTTTCATACTAAAAACTCAAAATTATTAATCAATTATTTGAAATAAATTATTAATTAAGATATTTTTTTTAGTTATATAAAATTATAACCGTTGATTTAAATAAATACGTGAAATTATATCACCGTATAAACTGTATTAACTTTATTTTAATTTTTATTATAATGTTACTAATTTAATGTAATTAGAGTGAGAAAATTTAAATTTTGAAATTTAAAATGGAAAATCAATATATTGACAAGTGACATGACATTAATTATTAGACATAATAAGGTGACAAATATCAAAAGAAGAATAATCTTATTCTTTTATTAGAATATGGATACATATATATATATATATATATATATATATATATATATATATATATATATATATATATATATATATTGTGCACATAAGGACCAATCAGAATTTAATACAAATTAAATTTTTAAATAAATCAATAAGGGCAAATTAGTTATATTGAATATATATTAAATAAATTCTAAAATTAAAATTAAATCAAATCTCTATAAAATTACAATCAATTTTTAAACCTTACAAAAACCACTATAACACAAAAGTAATGGACATTTTTTTTCACTTTTCAATTCACTTGCAAACAACCGATCCCTTTTCTTCCTCACAGCAAGAACAAGACGCAACCACCATCGCGGTCCTCCTCCTTCCTCATTGCTAAGGTTGCTGACATGTTCTTTCCCCACAGCAGCAGTCAAACACCGAATCACAACCAAGGCTTTTCCTCGTTGTTTAGATTGAATATATCTCGTTTTTTAGTTTATTGTGTTTTACAATATTGATGAAACTAAGGTATGTCGACATCATTGATTTTATGCAACTTATTGCATTTTGATTATTTTTACAAGAATGGTGGATTTGCAAATCGAAGGGTTTTTTTCTAAATAAAAAGTGAAGTTGAATTCAACTCAATGTTGAGCAATCATTCCCAGGTAATTGATTTGGAATTTAAAACCAATATTTGGAATTTAAAACCAAGATGCAAATCGATCATCTTTTCTAAATAAATTGGAATTCAAAATTATGAGGCAAATAAATTTTATTTTTTAAATAAAATGAAATCTATGCAATCGAAACTTTTACCATCACCATTTTTTATGCAAATCATTCTTGCTAATTACTTTGAAATTCAAAATTATAATCTTTTTGTAAAATAAATATGATTTTTTTTATTTACTTTATTTTAAAGTGAGTTTGTCTTGTTCTTAGTATTTGTTTTTGTAACCTTAATATGATTTGGAATTCAAAATTTGATATGTTATTATTATTATCTATGTATGCAACTGTTAAGTTTTTTTAATCAATTTCATAGTCATAGTTTGCATTCTAATGTGGGAAAGAAAGAAACATGGAAAATAATAGTATATTCTAGCAGAATGTGTTCTTGTATTCTATCAGAATGCATAAAGTGGTTTTTTTAATAATAATATTTTTATAGAATGAATTAGCGTTGTTAGATTTTGATGTTTTTTTTTTCTTTTTAACTATTCTTATATCAATTTTCTATTTGTATCAATTTCATCATCTTTTGCATTAAAAATAAAATGATTTATTTCTCTTTAGGGATAATTGTTGATCTTTTGCATTAAGAATAAATGATTTATTTCTCTTTAGGGATAATTGTTGAATTTGGTTTGTAGAATGTTTTAGGATTCTAATGAATTACATTATATTAGAGTATATTATAATTCTTTAAAGTCTATAACATTCTGTGAGAATTTATAATTTTATTCTATTATAATATACTAAATTTTTTAATATTTGAAAGTTGATTATGTTTTCTTTATGGATTTAGGTTTTAAAGAAGCTGTCATGGATATGGAAAAAAAACATGGAGAACAAGACTATTCTGGTAGAATGTATTATATCAAAATGTATAACATGTTTCTTAACAATAATATTCTTTGAGAATAGATTAGTGGTGTTGCTAGATTTAGATGTTTTTTTTTCTATCTAACCATTCTTAGTTTTAATCTTT